TTTGTCTTGATTCGTGTGTCACGCTAGTCCCTCATGTCACCTCTCCACACACACCGGCATCTCACAGAATTTGGACAGACCCTGCCGTGTTGGCTTGTGCTGCCCTGTCAATAAAATCCACGTTCGTGTAAACAAATGCAAATTAGGATAAACTCATAAGCTCCTTCCCAACCTGAGCTGAGGAAATATACATGCAAAAAAATGTGGAATAATACACATACAAGTGGTCGTTCACCTTTGAATGATGTTTGCACTCCTTGTTGCCTTCGATATTCAGAACAAGGGAACTTCCGGAATTGTGTCAACTGTATTAACTTGTGTGTCGTGCTGATTAAACATATTGGCTTGACAATGTGTAGGAGGGCATTTATCCCGGAGGGTTTATTAACTTTGGAAATATTTAGTGCTAGCTGCTTTTTATGTTCCATGGGACACACCTAAAACCAGGGTTGAATTCCCCACATAGAGGGAGGCCATGGTTGATGTCCTCCCCAGGATTGTGCTGGGGAGACTCTCTCTCTCTCTTTCTTTTCTCTCCCTCCCTCCCTCCTTCCCCTGGTGTGTTCAACTCTTGCTTGTTGATGCTGAAGACAGATCTTGTATCGTCTGTCTTAGCTTTACAGGCATTCAATATGGCCTAAACTCCAACACACTCACTCACCCACACACATGTAAAATTAATATCTGCCCCATGTTATTGATGTGTGTATTGAAGACGTTTTATGCCATAAATGTGACTGTTGAATGACATTCTCTTTTCCACAACAAGACAATAAGACATGCAGATGATAGTGTCATGACTATTTCTACATGTTTCTGTGCAATGGACTGGCAGTGTTGTATACATACTGGATCAGCCTGACTATTTCTACATGTTTCTGTGCAATGGACTGGCAGTGTTGTATACATACTGGATCAGCCTGACTATTTCTCCATGTTTCTGTGCAATGGACTGGCAGTGTTATATACATACTGGATCAGCCTGACTTTTTCTCCATGTTCTTGTGCAATGGACTGGCAGTGTTATATACATACTGGATCAGCCTGACTATTTCTCCATGTTTCTGTGCAATGGACTGGCAGTGTTATATACATACTGGATCAGCCTGACTATTTCTCCATGTTCCTGTGCAATGGACTGGCAGTGTTATATACATACTGGATCAGCCTGACTATTTCTCCATGTTTCTGTGCAATGGACTGGCAGTGTTATATACATACTGGATCAGCCTGACTATTTCTCCATGTTTCTGTGCAATGGACTGGCAGTGTTATATACATACTGGATCAGCCTGACTATTTCTCCATGTTCCTGTGCAATGGACTGGCAGTGTTATATACATACTGGATCAGCCTGACTATTTAACCCTGCACCAGGTCTGTATGATTAGTCTGTGCTGAAGTCAGCAGGTCTGTATGATTAGTCTGTGCTGAAGTCAGCAGGTCTGTATGATTAGTCTGTGCTGAAGTCAGCAGGTCTGTATGATTAGTCTGTGCTGAAGTCAGCAGGTCTGTATGATTAGTCTGTGCTGAAGTCAGCAGGTCTGTATGATTAGTCTGTGCTGAAGTCAGCAGGTCTGTATGATTAGTCAGTGCTGAAGTCAGCAGGTCTGTATGATTAGTCTGTGCTGAAGTCAGCAGGTCGGGGACTGAGCAGACACATGTGTGGAGTCAGGCTGGCCCCGTGAGTAATACGGCTAGATATACCCTGCCCTGTGTGTGATATAGGTATTAAACACCCACCTGGTCGGTAATAGTGCTCAAGTGTTCCCACTGTTGTGCAGGAACATAGTGATAATTGCCATGCTGAGGATTACAGCCAGTAGAGTGTGGCATAGCTTGTAGAAAGTGTATATACCTATATCACACCACCTGCCTGTAGAGTGCACATGCACATGCACACACACACACTCTATGCCCCGATCATCTATGTAGATATATAGATTTTTATGTCATCTAGGAGAGTGGGAAGAGGAGAGAAAAGGAGGGATGGAAGGAAAGAGAGAGGGAGAGAGAGAGGGAGGGAGTGAAGAATAGGGAGAGAGATATGTTTAGGTTTGCTGTATACAAGACACTATCAGTGTTGGAGAGGACAGTACAGTGTCTACATCATGACAACCTATCATTGACAAGCCTAACAGAAACTGAGGGCGGATCAAGAGTTTTTATAAGGGAGGGGTCCAAAATATCAAAATCCTCTCTCAGTCATTTTACTTCCTATAACATACAACAGTTGGCACAACAGCTTAACTGGAGCTGTTCGTATGCTTGTGAAGTTGTAGGATATTAGTGAGTTGCTTCTGGGGTGTCTACATGTTGACATGATATCACTACACATGAAACTTTATGATGAACAAACACAGGCCGCCTGTTGATTATGTAAGGGAGGTTATGCCAAACAATCGTGTTTGTTCTTTTCTCGAGTGTTGTGGTTGATGTTGGATTAACACTGCTACGTGAGGCAGGAGATGTTCACACCTTGCTGCGGTGTGCCACCAGGGGGCGCTAGGTGTATGTAATACATATGACCAACTGCTTATGACACAGATTGAACCAAGCGAAACTGGGCGTGGTCACGCTCCTACAGTAATGTCGACAATATGCAAGCAGTGTGTGTAATCGACATTGGAACGCCGTCTCTGTGAGCTTGCATCTCACGTACTGTGTGTTGTAAATCTATATGGTTTATGGGCATGTATTAGCTTGTGTTCTGTACCATTGCTTATGGGGGGATTTGGGTAATATTATATTTGCAAACATTCTTAAAATTAATGTGAGATTTGTTTTAATTTCTTATCAAATATGATTAGAAATAAATGCATTTACCAAAAAATATATGAATTGATCAGTTAATGAAAATTTGTATCATATTTTCCAAGTATCAGTGTTAAATATGTATATTCAAGTTGTCTCAGTGAATATGACCCAGCATCAGATATGAATAAGAATCGTATCGGCATATTTTCTGTTTATTAATGATGATAATTCCTGTTCTGACGAAGGTGGTTTACACACTAGACAGAGAGTGCTCCCTGGGTTGTTAACATGGAATGTGTCCTTGCACAAAGTTACACATAGTTTCAATGGTTTGTGATTGCCATAACATGCCGCATTCATTTCAAGCTTGGCCTAAAGCAATCACATTGAATTGGAAACATATATCATTGATTGGTCAAGTTTGCTTTTTCTAATTATTTAGTAGCTACGTACTTCTGTTGATGCAGTAGTGTATCATTTCGTGAAATCATGAGTAGCATCGTAGAGTAACATCATAGAGTAATATAGAGTAACATCGTAGAGTTACATTGTAGAGTTACATCGTGGAGTAATATAGAGTTACATCGTAGAGTTACATCGTAGAGTAACATCATAGAGTAATATAGAGTAACATCGTAGAGTAACATCGTAGAGTAACATCGTAGCGTAACATCGTAGAGTAACATCGTAGAGTAACATCGTAGAGTAACATCATAGAGTAACATCGTAGAGTAACATCGTAGAGTAACATCGTAGAGTAACATCGTAGAGTAACATCGTAGCGTTACATCGTAGAGTAACATCGTAGAGTTACATCGTAGAGTAACATCGTAGAGTTACATCGTAGAGTAACATCGTAGAGTAACATCGTAGCGTTACATCGTAGAGTAACATCGTAGAGTTACATCATAGAGTAACATCGTAGAGTTACATCATAGAGTAACATCGTAGAGTAACATCGTAGAGTAACATCGTAGAGTAACATCGTAGAGTAACATCGTAGCGTTACATCATAGAGTAACATCGTAGAGTTACATCGTAGAGTAACATCGTAGAGTAACATTTTAGAGTAACATCGTAGAGTAACATCGTAGAGTAACATCATAGAGTAACATCGTAGAGTAACATTTTAGAGTAACATCATAGAGTAACATCGTAGAGTAACATCGTAGAGTAACATCGTAGAGTAACATTTTAGAGTAACATCATAGAGTAACATCGTAGAGTAACATCGTAGAGTAACATCATAGAGTAACATCGTAGAGTAACATCATAGAGTAACATCGTAGAGTAACATTTTAGAGTTACATCGTAGAGTAACATCATAGAGTAACATCATAGAGTAACATCGTAGAGTAACATCGTAGAGTAACATCATAGATTAACATCGTAGAGTAACATCATAGAGTAACATCGTAGAGTAACATCGTAGAGTAACATCGTAGAGTTACATCATAGAGTAACATCGTAGAGTAACATCATAGAGTAACATCATAGAGTAACATCGTAGAGTAACATCGTAGAGTAACATCGTAGAGTAACATCATAGAGTAACATCATAGAGTTACATCGTAGAGTAACATCGTAGAGTTACATCATAGAGTAACATCGTAGAGTAACTTCGTAGAGTAACATCGTAAGTAACATCGTAGAGTAACATCGTAGAGTTACCTCCTACACGTGTGAATCCGTGGAGCAGAGAGCAGAGTTCCAGACACCTGGTGTCAGGCTGATCTGATCAATACTCACTGGGTGGTCAGTGTTTGTGTTGAGAGGTGAGGATTTGTGTGGTGATATGGCTTTTATACACCAGGGCAGGTCACATGTTACACCTTACAGTCCTGCAACTAGCCTCATGGTGGACTGATGTAAGAGACACATTGATGGGGAAGCTGCATCTCGGGAGCAGCGCCAGTTTGTCTTGTCATAACGAATACATGCAGATGAATGTCTTGTCATGAACATTGAAGTAAAGAAAGAGTCAAGGATGCTATATTCATCTGTGAGAATAGACAAGACTCATGCTTAAGAGATGTAGTACTATAGCAACGATGAGGCTGCTTTTACTCCCCTCTGAAGATGACATAATGTTGACAATTGACACCAGTGTTCACAGTATTCACCATTTTTGACACTATTCATCAGTGTTCACAATATTAACCAAGGATTGCAATATTCATCAGTGTTCACAATATTAACCAAGGATCACAATATTCACCAATGTTGTATCTGTTGTGTTGCAGCTTCAAATCCCATCACAGTAAGCAGAAGCCACTCCAGGGCGGTAATCGCAGCATCTCCGAGGACAGCGTCTTCACCCCCGGCGACCGAGGGGAAGCCAGCATCACTGCACTCAAGACTGTGGCTGTGTCGGAGGAGAACCTTCACAAGAATGCATTCCAGGTGAGTTCCAGCACCAGCAGCGGGGTAGCCGAGTGGTTAGAGCGTTGACTCATCACACCGAAGGCTCTGGTTCGATTCACCACAGTGTGTGAAGTCCGTTTCTTGTTTGCCCAGCCTTGGTATTGCTGGACTATTGATAAAAGCAGCATAAAACCCTCACTCCTGATCCCCTTTATCTATAGCTGACTGTAATACGGCACTGTTCCCCTCGATCTATAGCTGGCGGTAATACGGCACCGTTCCCCTCGATATATAGCTGGCTGTTACATGACACTGTTCCCCTCGATCTATAGCTGGCTGTAATATGGCACTGTTCCCCTCGATCTATAGCTGACTGTAATACGGCACTGTTCCCCTCGATCTATAGCTGACTGTAATACGGCACTGTTCCCCTCGATCTATAGCTGACTGTAGCATGACACTGTTCCCCTCGATCTATAGCTGGCTGTTACATGGCACTGTTCCCCTCGATCTATAGCTGACTGTAGCATGACACTGTTCCCCTTGATCTATAGCTGGCTGTTACATGACACTGTTCCCCTCGATCTATAGCTGGCTGTAACATGGCACTGTTCCCCTCGATCTATAGCTGACTGTAGCATGACACTGTTCCCCTCGATCTATAGCTGGCTGTTACATGACACTGTTCCCCTCGATCTATAGCTGGCTGTTACATGGCACTGTTCCCCTCGATCTACAGCTGACTGTAGCATGACACTGTTCCCCTCGATCTATAGCTGGCTGTTACATGGCACTGTTCCCCTCGATCTATAGCTGGCTGTTACATAGCACTGTTCCCCTCGATCTATAGCTGACTGTAGCATGGCATTGTTCCCCTCGATCTATAGCTGGCTGTAACATGGCACTGTTCCCCTCGATCTATAGCTGGCTGTAACATGGCACTGTTCCCCTCGATCTATAGCTGACTGTAATACGGCACTGTTCCCCTCGATCTATAGCTGACTGAAGCATGGCATTGTTCCCCTCGATCTATAGCTGGCAGTAACATGGCACTGTTCCCCTCGATCTATAGCTGGCTGTAACATGGCACTGTTCCCCTCGATCTATAGCTGACTGTAATACGGCACTGTTCCCCTCGATCTATAGCTGGCTGTAACATGGCACTGTTCCCCTCGATCTATAGCTGACTGTAGCATGGCATTGTTCCCCTCGATCTATAGCTGGCTGTAACATGGCACTGTTCCCCTCGATCTATAGCTGGCTGTAACATGGCACTGTTCCCCTCGATCTATAGCTGACTGTAATACGGCACTGTTCCCCTCGATCTATAGCTGGCTGTAACATGGCACTGTTCCCCTCGATCTATAGCTGGCTGTTTCATGGCACTGTTCCCCTCGATCTATAGCTGGCTGTAACATGGCACTGTTCCCCTTTATCTATAGCTGACTGTAGCATGGCATTGTTCCCCTCGATCTATAGCTGGCTGTAATACAGCACTGTTCCCCTCGATCTATAGCTGACTGTAATACGGCACTGTTCCCCTCGATATATAGCTGGCTGTAACATGGCACTGTTCCCCTTTATCTATAGCTGACTGTAGCATGGCATTGTTCCCCTCGATCTATAGCTGGCTGTAATACGGCACTGTTCCCCTCGATCTTTACCTGGCTGTAATACGGCACTGTTCCCCTCGATCTATAGCTGGCTGTAGTACGGCACTGTTCCCCTCGGTCTATAACAGTCTTCCTACACGCATCATGTCCAGCACGCCAACAGTTTCTCCATTCCTTTACCTTGTATGTTATTTCCTACAGAAAAAAACCTGTTTTTGAAAGTGTATTGATTCACTGAAGATTGGCATCAGCTTCCAGCTGGAATTGATCTGGTTTGGGTCCATGAAGAGAAGTGTAAAAAGCTTTTTTTGGCCCGGAATAAAGAGAACAGAATGGCAAGGAGAGTGGTTGTTAAACAGCTCTTTTTCTTCAAGCTATGGAACTGACTGCAGGACGAGGTCAGGCGCAGGATGCTGGATGCGTGTGCCATCATTCTTAATTCCGTCTGAAGATGTTCGCACATAGATTATACCAGTTCAGCATGTCTTCACCGTGAACCACTTCACGTTGTCTCCTACCCTTGCATCCTCTAGGGTGGCACAGGGCCCAGGCGTCCATGGCGCTGCAATTGGCTGTGCAGTTTGCATCTCTTGGGCAGGCACTCCAGCTGAACTGACATGCCATGATATGTCCTGAATACTGTTCAAAGTGCCGCTAAACCGGACTCCCTCACTTACTCATCATCCAGATCCCTGCTGAAGTCTCTCCACTTCAAATTGTAATGTCACACCAAACAATCTCTGTATAGCTCTTATAACTTTGGGTAGAATAGGTCTTCAGCAACCCATGCTTGCCGTAAAGGGTGACTATGCTTGTTGTAAGAGGCGACTAACGGGATCGGGTGGTCAGGCTCGCTGACTTGGTTGATACATGTCATCGATCCCAATTGCAAGGATCGATGCTCATGAAGTCCAGACTCGATCATTTTACAGACCGCCGTCATATGGCTGGGGTATTGCTGAGTGCGGCGTTAAACAACAAACAAAAAAACAAACAAATCTTAGAACTTTGAAACAGCAAACTTTTGTGTGGATGAGGGCCATGAGCATTGACTTGGGACTGGGGACATTTTGTAGGATCTGGGTGCTGTTCCACATGGCTATCGTAGAGCTAAGGTTACCGTTACTCCCATACTTAAACAAAGACTTACGGCAGTCCGTGTGCAACAATCACCTTGTGGAAGGGGACCCTGGTGCATTATAAGTGGAGAAGCTGCTACATCATTACATTCTAGCATCTGACACAGCAGGCATGTCCTGGTGGAAGTGATGATCCAAGGTCATCAAGAGGTTTGATGTGTGGGTGGGGTGTAGTTAGATGGTGTGTATTTGGAGTGGGTGGATGGAGTGTTGTTGGGGTGGATGGGATGTAGTTGGGGTGGATTGGGTGTAGTTAGTGATGGTGGGGTGGTGGACATCCACCTTATGTTATAAATAAGTGAGAATGGTTATGCCGCTTTTAGCAATATTCAAGCAATATCACGGCGGGGGACAGCAGAAATGGGCTTGACACATTGTACCCATGTTGGGAATCGAACCCGGGTCTTCGGCGTGACGAGCGAACGCTTTAACCACTAGGCTACCTGACCGCCCCTGTTATGAATGATGAACACAAGGTAACAGACAGTGACTTCATGTTTTCTGCAACATTTGTGAAGGCATCACTGTATGTGTGGACAAAGATACCTGTTATTTTCACCCATTGAAGTTTGCTGCACTGTACAGCGGGAGGACAGCAGATGGCCTCCTGTGACATCTTGTCGTACGAGGCGGCTAGCGGGACCGGGTGGCAGGCTCGCTGACTTGGTTGATGCATGTCATCGTATCCCAGTTGCGAGGATCGCTGCTCATGATTTCTATCAGACTTGGTTATTTACAGACCGACGTCATATAGCTAAATATTTCTGAGTGCTGCATTAAACAACAAACAACAACAACAGCCTGTGAGAGTAGGAGTAGGAGTCATATAGCCAAGTTGTTGCACATTGGCATGAAACATGGCAGTACACTGACTGCTAGGCAGGCTGTACTATTGAGGAAATATTGTAAATAACAGTTTAGAATCCCTGTTGTAGGTTTAGGTTACATAATGTGTTACGGCCCATCTGCTTCTTGAATATTCTCATGCTGTACTGTAGTTTTTAAAGATTTTAGGTGACGAAGTAGGTGTAATTCAGTGCTTAACAGTAGGAGTCCTAACCTTGTCATACTTTATTAGTTAATCCCTTAAGACTTCTCTGCTTTCCATTTTCATCTCATTAATCTCATTAATTACTCACTGTTACGACATATGAAAGGGTAACAACTTACTAACGAGGTAAATGTTTGTTTTACAATTGACGTTTAATTGATGAAGTTTAAAGTCGGATCCTAATTAGATATGGAGAACGTACATCGTGTGTTTTAAACAAATAAAACAAACCAGGTGTTCATAGTTGTTTAAAAATTATTTTATTAGGTCATCACTGTACTCTCAAAAGGCATGAAATCAAATGGGAAACAGCATGAAATTGATAGGAGCCAGTGATTACTCCGTGGTTTCACTGAATCTGCGATATCGTGAAGGGCGTTATTACGAGGAACGACTGTATATGTATCTGTTAAATTTTCCTCCCAAGTTACCTGAAGCTTTCACCTACTTCCCAGCTCCAGACTGACTGGATTTCATGAAGCATGATGTACATCTGTACCCAACTTAGTATGTCATGCAACATCGCTGAAACTAACATCATCCATTTCAAGAAACATTAAACAATATTAATTTATGGAAATTCTGTAAAAATCTATTAATCGATATATTATGGGCTAATAGTTTGCACTTGATGTCAGACTCAGCCATAATAATGAAGCACATCTATTTAATTGAGATATGACCACGGGCTAATAGACGTAATGGTGGAGGCGAGTCTCACATCCGGCCATTACACCACAAATACACCGAGGCGTGTGGTTCTCTGCCACCCTCAACTTCCTCATATTTGTTGACGGTCGCTTACTGCTCGTCCCTGCCTTTGGCCTGTCCCCTGTTGCATGCTGGGTGAGACTGTCATTTCCTGGACTGGGGTTTGTGGTTATTAAGTTAATAAGCAGTCCCTGCTTGGATTTGTGAGTCATGTTAAACATGTCAGCTTGTGGGTCTTTAGGATTGTCCCTGTAGGGTGTAGTTGTGGTGGGGGTGCATCACTAGGATGTCTGTTATCAGCATTCCAGGGAACTTTCAGGTAATATTTGCTTGTTGAGACCTTGTATACCTTGTATACAGAAATAATGTTTATGTGTGTTCGGGGCATTTGACAATTCATTAGACATTTGTTGAAGTTATTATTATGTGGTACAGATATTGTTTGAAACAGCTGTCTTATATCAACCCTGGTGATGGTGGTGATGATTATTATTATTATTATTCTGTTACAATGTAATAATAAAAGGGGATATAATTGTTCTCTTATCTAAGGTGCTGCGATTGACTCTGCGGAGTTGTGTCCCTTAGATGTGCCAGAAACCGATGATCATGTTATGGAATCCCAGATTTGCACTGATAATGTTTCTAGGTTTCTCAGCACCATACCCTTCCCCGTGGGTTTCATCAAAGTCATGGTCATCCAGGATATGCGTCACGTCACATTTATCCTCACAAATCAAGCTGCCATGCCATGATATGACTGAAACACTGTACAAAGTGGTGTGTATTACCCACTCACTAGTTTGTTTGTTTGTTTTGTTGTTTTGTGTAACGCCTCACTCAGCAATATTCCAGCTATTTGATGTAGGTCTGTGCATAATCGAGCCTGGACCAGACAATCCAGTGATTGACATCTATGCAATCAGGATACGATGACATGCATCAACCAAGTCAGCAAGCCTGACCACCTGATTCTGTTAGTCGCCTCTTACGACAAGCATAATCGCCTTTACAGCAAGTATGGGTTGCTGAAGACCTTTTCTACCCTAGATCTTTATGGTTTCCCACCTCACTAGTAATAATTATATTTGGTGATGATGATGATGATGATGACCAAACATATGAATGTTGCTGCATATTTAGTCAGTCTTCAAACTGATGTGCATGTCTGTTGTATTCTCAACTCCAATTCAACGTCAATTCTTTTAAAAAACAATAAAGAGCATGACACAAGAGTGAGTGAGTGAGTGAGTATGGTTTTACACCGCTTTTAGCAATATTCCAGCAATATCATGGTGGGGGACAGCAGAAATGGGCTTGACACATTGTACCCATGTTGGGAATCGAACCCGGGTCTTCGGCGTGACAAGCGAACGCTTTAACCACTAGGCTACCCTGCCGCCCCTCATGACACAAGAAACCAGCAGACTTTGAAAGCAACCTTTCTGTTGTTGACTCATTTCCCTTCTCACCCTGCGGTGACTCCGGAGACGGACATGCTCGGTCTGTAGATCACCTGCTTCACGCTACCCTCACTCTGTCATCCGTGATGCCTCAACATGCACTGGTTGTTTTGCAGAACGAGTTGTTCACCAAGCTGAAGAAGAGACACTCCCAATACTCCGACGACGACGATGGCTTGCCGCAGAGCCCTGTGCCACCCATGACGACAGCAGACATCCTCGGAGGACCTCTGAAGGTGAGACTGTTTCCTAACGCTGGAATCCACAAACTGCGATCTTCTCAACTTCATACTTGCAGTGTATATCATATTATTGTTCAGAAATATGATTAAAGCTGCCGTATATCGATGGAGTTAAACCAAGGATGAGGTTATGAATCTGATTGTAAAGATACAAAATAGTAAGCTTAGCATCAGAGGCTACATATGATGGTTGTGAACTATGCTGCTCAACAATTGACAGGGATATTGACAAGTGGAATCCTTTCTGGGTCTATGGCTTCCCAATTATGAGTATCCCCATGTTATGTGTTTTGGGATGCTTAAGAAACATTTGTAATTTTCTCGTTGATCACAAGAACTGTAGAACTTCTCACTTATAAAAGATGACTTTATCTTAAAAACAGGTCATTATCTGATTACATGTATTTGCAATGTCTGTGTGACACTACACCCTTTGTTATAGCGCAAGTAATCGCGACAACCATGGCCGTCTGAAAACATAGGATGTCCAAAAACCTATGATCCGACAATACTTAATTTGTGAATCATGTGAAAATAGGAATATCCCTGTCAACAGTTGAGTAGTATATGTTGCAAGGAAGTCACAGACTGCTGATGTTCACTGTTGTTGAAGTCCCTGCATACACATGAATAAGGAGCTGTGTCTAACATTTGTTTTTTTAAATTCTGATGGTTATGCATGAGTTCTCAAGTCGTCATTCATTCAACTGGTGCAGGTATACTAGAAATTGTTTGTTTGGGTCTCTAGACATTATGATGGAACACACCTTGTGAACATTTTCAAGTATGTGATTGTGTAGCAGGACCTGCCACACCTGTGAGTTTATGTTTAGACAGGTAGCTGCAGTAGGGTTGAACCGTACCAGTAGCAGCTCAAACTGTTGCTTAATAAGTCAACATTGACACAACATTATCTTGAAGATTTATCGTTTGGCTGAACCAAGATGGTGGGCCTTTCTGATTCCCCTATTTGTTGAAGGAAAGGACAAGGCAGCGATGATGAGATTACCCCACTGTTCCTGCACACTCTAATGGCCCTGACCTTTCGTAAATTGGCTTACATAATTTCCCTGATAATTTCCCAGGATCAATATGACATGGCCTGGTTGTGTTCTCTGACATTAGTCAAGAATACTTTGTTGTTTCAACAAAAGGGTCATGGCCAAAATGCACTGTTGGACGTCTTCTCTAGTCCATGTTTTAAAAAACTCAAGACACATGTATGTCCTCTCCTCAAAGATTAAAAGATGTCACAAGATTTAGAGCATGGACATGGCACATATCTATGCAGTATTGTCCCCTGCTACAAAGTGGAAGGGGGAAATAGGAATGGCTGCTGTCCTCCTGTCCGTCCGTCCGTCCGTAATGTTTCGTTTCCAGAGCAGAACTAAAAAACATAGATATCTTAACCAAACTTGGCACATAGATAGGTCTAGTGATGAACTGGTGCCTTTTGATAGTTTAGGATTTAAAAAAATAATTTTTTTGAGTTTCCATAGCAACAACTTTGACATAGACTGAAAGTGGTGGTAGTGCTCGTTTCCAGAGCAGATCTTGAAAATTGTAAAATATTTTTTGCCTTGCACACAACCAGACATGTTGGTGGGGGATATGAGTATTTCATGCTTGTTTGATCTGGAGTGACTGTCTTGAATGGTGTTTAAAGAGAGTGTTGTACTTCTTCAGCCTGGGCCAGGCAAGTCCAGCAGCAGGGAGAGCGAGAAGAGTCTCATCAGTGTTGACAGCTCCGACAATGAGGGGGTAAGTAGATGTAGACACTGACTCACAACATACCTGGTAATGGAGGCTAATTATTAACACCCACAATCCTGGCATTAGCTGCAGCTGTGTGAACTCCAGATGCGTGAGTGTTGATGTAGAAGTGTTGCAACACCAGCTGCTGGTGATTGTGTCCTGCTCTGTCAATGAGCAGTGTGATTGCTGGTGTTTAAATGTCATAACACACCAGCACACCAGGGATATGCTGTCTGAAGTTTGTCCTTGAAACGTGTAGGCAACACATGAATGATGATGATGATGATGACACCCAACATATGAATGTTGCTGCATATTTAGTCCATAACTGTTTATTTAACGCCTCACTCAGCATTAGCTTCAGCTGTGTGAACTCCAGATGCGTGAGTGTTGATGTAGAAGTGTTGTAACGCCAGCTGTTGAATGAGCAGTGTGATTGCTGGTGTTTAAATGTCATAACACACCAGCACATGGTTATAACCAGGGATATGCTCTCTGAAGTTTGTCCTTGAAACGTGTAGGCAACACCTGAATATTTGTGTGAAAGGTCAGCTGAAATATCGTTCTGATGTTGTGGGAGTGTTTATCCTTTCTTTCTTTGATGTTTTGTATCCTACAGTGAGGTACACTCCCCACCTGCTGTGTGTCTTGCTAGTGTGTGATAACACGCTCATATCTCCCTATGTGGACATGACTCTCTGACATCAATATTGCCCTGTGTGTGGAGCAGTGTCATGTGACACTGTGACTGATGTGTGTGTAGTATGTCTGTTGTCATGGATTAGATGTTGTTGTTTGTGTACTGCTCCTGGGACGAGTGAGAGACTGTAGCTATGAGAGTTAGGTAGTGTGGGATATGTACCGTGTGATAGATTGAGAGCTCTTCAGTGATGTGGGTTATCTTTCAGGATGACCCTTTCTTGACCAAGTGGAACAGTCCAGGCAAACCTCGAAGGAGCAGTGACCAGTCACCGCCACCTGGTTAGTTGAACTGTATCAGGGAGTGGTGGGGATGATGGTCATAATGACCATGATGATGTTCACTATCATGATGATGCTCACTATCATGATGATGCTCACTATCATGATGATGTTCACTATCATGATGATGTTCATGATCATGATGATGTTCATGATCATGATGTTCATTATAATGTTAACTCAAGAGGTTCATGATGATGAATGTTCATTATGATGAGGATGTTCATTATGATGAGGATGTTCATGAAGGTGACGATGTTCATGGAGGTGACGATGTTCATGAAGGTGATAATGTTCATGAAGGTGATGATTTTCATGATGATGATGTTCATTATGATGATGTTCATGAAGGTGATGATGTTCATCGTGATAATGATGATGTTCATTATGATGATGTTCATGAAGAAGATGATGATGACAATAATCATGATGAGGATCAAAATGTTTGATTTAATTTGATTTGATCAAATGTACAGTTTGCATAGCTATGAAAACAATAATAGTCATCTCCTGAAAGAGTAATGATAATGATGTTCATGTTGATGTTCATGAATGTGATGTTCATGTTGATGATGATGTTCATGAAGGTGATGTTCATGATGATGATGTTCATGACAGTGATGATGATGATGTTCATGAAGGTGATGATGCTCATGATTATGATGTGCATGATGAATATGATGTTCATGATGATGTTCATGTTCATGAAGGTGATGTTCATGATGATGATGTTCATGAAGATGATGATGATGTTCATGAAGGTGATGTTCATGATGATGATGATCATGAAGGTGATGTTCATGATGATGTTCATGAAGGTGATGTTCATGATGATGATCACGAAGGTGATGTTCACGATGATGATGTTCATGAAGGGGATGTTCATGATGATGATCATGAAGATGATGTTCATGATGATGATGTTCATGAAGGTGATGTTCATGATGATGTTCATGAAGGTGATGATGATGTTCATGAAGGTGATGATGTTCATGAAGGTGATGATGTTCATGAAGGTGATGATGATGTTCATGAAGGTGATGATGCTCATGATTATGATGTTCATGATGATCATGAAGGTGATGATGTTCATGATTATGTTCATGATGAATATGAAGTTCATGATGATGTTCATGATGATGATGTTCATAATGTTTGATTTGATTTAGTTTGATTTGATCAAATGTACAGTTTGCATAGCTATAGAAACAAAGTAGGTCATCTCCTGATAGAGTAATGATAATTCCTATTTGTTACTACGGGTGTGAGGTATTACCGGTATATCGGTAATTGAGGTTAATTCTTTCCACGATACATATCACAATATCATTTTTTCATGTTCAATATATCAGGCGATTTCAAATTGGGATTTTATCATGTGTTTAATGTTATATACTTGCAAAATGCCGTCGCTGCCCGGGAACAAGCATCTTGTTTCCCAAGGTGGCTGCATATGTTTTAAATGAGTAAACATTATGTTGTACCAGCTTCTTGTTTTGTTCCATTTATGAACTTCAATTCATACCTTAATGTATAAGTTTGCTTCTGAATTAAAAATTTAGGATTATCCAATATATGGTGACACGTATCACCTCCAATACCCATCCCTGTGTGTGACACACTGATAGTGATCTGTACATACATACACATGTGACAGTGATGGCAGTCCTGCCCTGTGTAAGACGCCTGCAGTCACTCACTGTAGTGTTCAATGTCCACAGCTAAAGGAAGCTCGATGGACTTGGAGGCCGTCAAGAGGACACCCATGCTGAGTAATGAGGCGGCCAAATTCAAGCGGTCGGTTAAACCTCGGAAGCAGAACAGGCAGTCCCGCAAGAAGAAAGATGTAGGTCAAATAAGGTTTCCTGTGATGCTAATGTTCTTGTGTTTTGCTGGTATATGTATTTTTTGTAAAGGTTTTCCTCATGTCATTAATTAAAATTCAGTGAAATATGCAATACTGAATATTCAACAATCAAGGCCTCAATAAAGCTTTCAAAATGTTTTATGGTAGACATGGAAAGGATATTCCCCAATTTGATGCATCAGTGACAGAAATGATGTCCGATGCATTTCCCTAATTTGACTTGTACCATAGGTTCACACGTTTTTTCAGGTGAACAATTGACTTGCCTTTGCATGTGTTTGTGATGGGTGCCACTGGTGGGGCAGGATACGCTCACCTTTTCGCAAACACCTGGTATCTTTACTATTTGATAGTGATTCATAAACACATGCTCGTGATATAGGAGGAATTGTACAATCGCCAATTTTATATATTGGATATGGAAAGGGTTTTGTCTCTTATTATGTTCGGTTTGGAAATTCTTTATCAAGATTTTCTGGCTTGATATGATGCCACTTCTCCATCTCTCCATGGGGTTCCAGGTTGGAGATGGTTCCAGTAAGCTGTCCTTGTAACAGTCCTTGTAACAGTCCTTTGTGACTTAACTGATCGTGTGACATCGTACCCAGACAGGCTGGGTTGTTGCTGACACCTTCAGTCACTGGATTGTCTGGTCCATAGTTTGCCTTGATATGGCTGGAATATTGCTGACTGCAGTGTTAAACACCATTCACTCAAATATTCACCTGTCAGTAAACGTTACACCCAAATATGATATTCATACTGGCTTCCTCCTTCCCCTTCTCAGCCCTTTAGGGATATCATGATGTCATCTGGAAGATGTGGTTCTGAGTAACCAGTGCCAATCATCTTGATGATACGTGTTTGTATTCCAGGCTGTGCCAGCCTGGGTCTACCGAGTCTCAATGATATGTCTTGATGTCCACATCTTGATGATACGTGTTTGTATTCCAGGCTGGGCCAGCACTGGGTCTACCGAGTCTCAATGATATGTCTTGATGTCCACATCTTGATGATACGTGTTTGTATTCCAGGCTGTGCCAGCACTGGGTCTACCGAGTCTCAATGATATGTCTTGATGTCCACATCTTGATGATACGTGTTTGTATTCCAGGCTGTGTCAGCACTGGGTCTACCGAGTCTCAATGAAGAGTCCCCTACCAAGCTACAGGCAGAGGAGAGTGCATTTGCAACACCAGGTGTTGACATCCCAACTGACACCAGTGTCTTGGAAGTGTCATCTGGGCCCTCAGAGAAACCAACTGTGTCACTGAAACCCACGGAATTACCTCCAAAACCTGTAGCTCCTACTAAACCTGTAGCTCCCACTAAACCTTCTGGTGATGCATCAGCTAAGACTGTCAGTGTGACCAGCCCAGTGAGTGATGCTGCAAGTAAACATACACTCCCAGGGACGGTGAAGGTCGAGGTCAGGAAAGAGCCGACCTCTGCCCTCCGACCCTCCGACCAGGATGTGAGTCGAGGGAGGTCCACTTCTGTTAACACAAAGGAGAAGGTGGATGCACCTGCTGAAAAAAAGTCCTCAGAATTGTCAAATGCTTTCAGTAAGTTGAAGCGTAAACCTGTAAAAACTGAAGATGATGAACTGCCAAAAACTGTGGATAAAACTGATGCCGTGAAGTCAGAACCTGAAGTGTTTTCATTTTCATTGAAAAAGGAGGAGAAATTAAGTGAGACGAAGACAGTGACTGTGACAGGACGTAATAGGAGTTCTTCAGAAAGTGTGGACAGTGTTCAGAAACAGGAACAGTCTAAGGCTGAGGAGTTAAAGCCTGTTGCAAGGCGGCATGAAGAGCCTGTGGAGGAAGCTAGGCCCGTTCTGAAGTCGGTGAGTGCAGACAAACCACCATTGAAGTCTGTCATTACAACTGGAGGAGGAGAAATCAAACACACCCTCACCAAACAGCTCTCAAGTGAGTCAAACAAAGAGGAGGATCATAAGTCAGACACAAGTTCTGTGAAGTCTGAGAGTTTCAGGAAGGACGTAGGGTTCAAGGTCGGAAGTGTAACACCGTCACCTAAAGAAGACTACAAACAGAAGCGGCAGAGCAGGAGTAAGACTCTGCCAGAGCAGCCAATACTACCAGATGAGTTCTCAGCCAAAGTTCAAAGAGCAAAGTCTCAGAGAGCAGACGCTGCACCTGTCGTCCCCGTAGCTACGGGCGCTGGTTCACAGAGGCCGTCAGCGTATGGCGCACCGTTGTCCAGGAAGGAACCCAAACACCTGTCTCATCACGAGGCAGCACCTACTGGTCAGCCAGAATGGATGGCAATGATTAAGAAAAAGAAACCAGCTGAAAGTACGGAGAATAATGAGACATCTGAGCAGAAGAAGGAGGTGCTAACTATCGATACTAAAGATGTGATCAAGGAAAAGGGGAACGACAAGAGTGGGGACAAAATGAGTAAGTCCCTCACTTTTGCCCCAACATCCAACCCTTCCACAACACCTGAGGAGAAGGAGTCATTTTCAATCAGTAGTTCCAGATCAGCGAGTGTTAAGATACCTTCAAAGATGGACTCTAAACCTCAGTCTGGTCCTGTACGATTTGGCAGTGTCAAGACTGGGAGCATTGCTCCCTCTTCCACCACTTCTATAAAGTCTGGGAGTGTCACCACCACCGCCCCCACCCCCAGTGTCACCAAGTCAGGGAGTACGTCTCAGCCCACCACCAGCTGGGTCAAGCCAGGTGGGACCCAGACTTCGGTGACTAGGTCGGCTACTTCGACAACCCCTTCTTCCAGCAAACCTGACAGTATCAAGAACCTAGGCTCAAATGTGAAGGAGACGAGCAAAGACTCTAAGATCTCTCCCACTGAGGGTGTCAAGAAGGACTTCAGTCGGGTTCAATCCATGAAGACGCCTTCTTCAACACCTGACCCCACTCCAGCCTGGAAATCTTCCAGTGTGAAAACAGTGAAGGGACCTGTGCAATCGGCCCAATCTTCCAGTGATAAGAAAGAATCCGTCCCAGCCTGGCGGAGCGGCATAGCCAAGCCTGCAAGTAAAGTCACTATTGAGATCATCGAGAAGGAGAAAGAGCCAAAACAAGAAGTGGTCATGAGAAAGGTGAGACGTCACATACACCTCTTAAATGTGATAACTTATATATGATTGTATACTCCCAAGGAAGCAGAGAATACAATATGGTCCCATCAAAATGATCCTTTATCGTCATTGTGATATGTCATAGTGTTGATACGCCATGGATATTCTGGGTTAGAATTGGCCCCAGCAAGCCATGCTGTTCGTAAGAGGCGACTGGGTGGATTGGGTGAACAGACTCTGAGAGGTGGTTGATGGCGTGTCATTGTAACTCAGTGGCATGGATCATTCGTAACAATATCAATCACTGGATTGTCTGGTCCAGACTTGATTATTTACAGGCCTCCCTCATTCGGCTGAAATATTGTTGAATGTGGCCTTAAACAACAGACAAACAATGTGATAACATATATATATATGATTGTATACTCCCAAGGAAGCAGAGAATACAAGATGATCCCATCAAGTGACCCTTTTACAGCATTATATGTCATGTTGTTGTTTTTGTTTGTTGTTGTTGTTATAACATGTTGTTTTGTTTTCTGCAGCCTAAGAGCCAGCCCGCTGCCCCAAGAACAGAGGCCGACTCGTGTCGAGACAGTTCCTCCAACCGCTCGTCCAAAGTCCTGGATATGGTGAAGAGCTTCCAGAAACTACAAGTTTAACTGATAGTTGCCTGGCAACAGAACAAAATAGTTTCCTGTAGAATTGAGACATGCTGAGTTCATCAAACTTGACATCATTCTGGGATATTCTTGTTCTACTGCTGTCGGTGAAATCACACCGATATACTGTACTGATAAAATGTGCTACCATGGTATAATAATATACACTGATATACCCCAATATACAATGCTACCACTGGTGGCATAGTGATATACACTGATATATCCTGATATACCATGCAACCACTGGTGGCATAGTGATATACACTGATATATCCTGATATACCATGCAACCACTGGTGGCATAGTGATATACACTGATATATCCTGATATACCATGCAACCACTGGTGGCATAGTGATTTACACTGATATACCCTGATAAACCATGCAACCACTGGTGGCATAGTGATATACACTGATATACCATGCAACCACTGGTGGCATAGTGATATACACTGATATACCATGCAACCACTGGTGGCATAGTGATATACACTGATATACCCTGATATACCATGCATCCATGGTGGCATAGTGATATACACTGATATATCCTGCCACCAATGGCACAATGTGTGAGATACATAATGTTCGACTGAACAAACCTATACCAAACTGATTGTAATATACTTTGTGATAGACTACCATGATGGACTGACTGATTTTGTGGAATTTCCTATACTTTATTGCCTTTGTTCTGATAGTAAGCTACTTCTACGAACATAATGGCAACCTTGACATTGCTCCGTTCCGATATTCCCTTACCTCCCTCCAGCTTGTCGGCATTAGTGTAGAGATGTCCTGGCAGTAGCCGGCCACAGACTGACGGATGGCATCACTTTGGCAAGACAGTTAGCTATGACAATATTTTCTTTATTTCCCATGTTTTCTCCCTTTCTTGTAGACATTCAGGTTGCCAGGTTACACATGGGCTGTAGTTGGACTGGGATGCCAATCCATGCCTTGTGTAATCCTGGTTAGGGCATTATGTTTATATACTTAGGCCCCTAACTGGTATATAAATAAGGTTTAAAGTTGGAGTGGTTAGTTTGGCTAAGAATCAAATCAGCAGGCCTAATGATCATAAAATTTGAATCTGATTTGTTTCTTAGTTCCAAACTTGTTCCGAGCTCCGAAATTGTTTTCTTAGTGAGGTTGAGTTTTGTGTTGCTGTTTTAGGAGCTCTCAGAGTGTTATTCCACAGTTGTTGATTTTAGCTGTGACTAGTGTTGCATCAATTAAATACATGCTGGTTTTCCTTTGTGAATTTCTTCATTGGGATAGTGAGGTTACTTAATAAATGTTTAAATGCTGTTGAAAAATACTGAAATATTAGCAGCGCTTGTTAACTGCATAGAGCCTTAAAGGTGAGCTGAAACACAGCAAGGGAGACAACTGTGTTAAGAATTACCAGCAAGAGAGACAACTGCATTAAGAATTACCAGCAAGGCAGACAACTACGTTAAGAATTACCAGCAAGGGAGACAACTGTGTTAAGGACTCCAAGCCTGACCACACCAAGCTGTCATGGTTTATTCTACAGGACATGCGTGTTATCTGTGTACTCAAGTTCTGTTTTATCACTGCCCAGTTAGATTGCTGAACGTTGTTTTATTCTTTGTTCTGTTGCCTTTATATGCATTTAGAGACACCGGCTCAAAATGATATGAAATGTATTCTAGACTGGGAGTATTAAGTTTTGCAATGAAAGCCATGTATATGGTTCTGAAATTGTCTCTTTGTGTGCTGTCTAGACGGATGGCATCAGAGCCAACTTTCTACACCTTATAATACAGTACTATACCCTGTCTGTGTAGTTATCATTATCATATGCGTATATATGGCCTATTTATGTAACAATGTATGACACTATAGTTATGATGTAGAAGTCAAATGCAACAAGTTTGTACAAATCAGTTCCTACTGTTCTGCTGAAGAGGGTTCTGTGGTACTTATCTCTAATGACTTATGGGGACTGTTGGGTAGCACAGTGGTTAACACGTTAGCTTGCTGCACCTAACACAGGTTCAGTTATCATACTCTCGAATGACTTGTGGTGGGGTAGTCTACTCGTTGAAGTGTTTGCTCATCACACCCAGAACCCCAGGTTCAATTCCCTACATACTCACTTGCTCTACTAGATGATGATATACCATACTATCACAAGGCACCAACCAGACTCCATCACCGTCTTTACAAACATTCCAGGCCAATAGAACTATGTGGTGATGTTTAGGGTCACAAATTGCCACAATGTAGTTATGAGGACCAGAAGTTTCATTGGGAGTCATGTTTCATTTGTTTCAACTGTTTCAGTGAAGTTCCGTGTGTTTTGAACTAAATCTAAAGCATCTTCATCTTCGGCTCTCGGTATCTGTCTGTATATATCTGCCTGTGTTGCATCACGAAAACTGAAAGTGCTGACAAGGCATTTTCAGCATTGGTTTATATATGAACCATTTCTTTCTGTATAATCTTGCCAGGTTTCTAGCTCATGGAACCCTTCACTGCTGATGTGTGGATTAGAGAGGTTGAAGTGTACACAGGGAGTGCACAGCTCATTAAAACATTAGAAATTGTTTTTCTCCAGCGGGATTTATAATATCAGTTCTTTATAGGAAGTGGTTTTTTCTTTCGTGGTTAAATGAAATCCTAGTGCTACAAGCCTGTGAAAGTGTGGACCACCATTGCTTCTATAGACCTTGCACCACATCTTTAATCAGTGTGACATACCATCATGGTCCACAGTGTCCTATGGTCATCGATGTTTATCATGCTTTGAGTGTTTCTCGGTAGAAGTGAGAACGTGGCTCTCAGGGATTTGAACGAGGAAAGGTTAGGGGTGAGTTTGGAAGAAAGTTTTCGGGAGACAACTTTCGTCACTTCCTAAGTATTCTCTAGGTTTTTCTCTAATAGTATTCAGCAACGCCTATTTAAATCTGCTGCATGAACCAGACACAAACAATGCCAAAAACTGTTTTCATGTTAGAATGACTCAAATATACTACTAAAAAATGCTGACATGGTCTACAGGACCTGTAGTGCTGGATATCTCTCATGGATGGTGTCAGTCGAACACCTGTTGTCATGGACACCAGTGTCACCACACATACACCACTTCGACATCTCCAATACACCACTTCGACATCTCCAATACACCACTTTGTCACTGGAAATGTTTGGGATTGCAATAGGAAAATGTGTTGCAAGCCCTAGATCAGTCTACCACTGGGTGTCCTTCACTGTCCCATGTCCTAGGCATACCATCACAGACTTATCTTCACCTGTTACCAAAATGAAATGGCAGAAAACATCTTACTCACTTTTAGGAAAGTGGCACATCAGTTTTAGGTTGTTATGTTAACCATTTTTAGCTGAAAAGTTGTGAATTTAAATTTTTTGCTTATTGCATATTTACTTATTGTACAAATATGAATTCTCTGTACAAATGTACATAGCAATTGTATGTTTTTTATTTGACAAAGGACCAATGTTATGGTATATTTTATATCTGTGTTGTTTGAACGTTACCAGTCTGGCTAATGGAGACTTTTGTTACCCTTTCACTTGTTAGTCAGGTCATCTGATTCATGTTTTACAGGGGCAGTGTTCTGTAGCAGTTGCTTCATTGAACTGGAGCTTTCTAGCATCCTCAATATCAACGGGCTGTTCTTAGATACTAGCATGAGGGATTTAGACTGGTACTCTCACCAGGTTAGCTAAAATTTGAATCTTATGGCTCTATTAACATTCTTATCTATTTTGTTGATTTCTATCCTGCAGTTGTCACCGATCGTGTATGAGACTCATGAATCTTCCTATGTATCCAGGTCGAGACCAGTGTTCCATCTCAAAAGTTAAGGTTAAATTAAGTCTTTGGCTTCATGTTCTGCTGAGATAGAAATTACTTGAAAATATCATAAAGTTGAAGGTGTCGTTGCATACATAGGTATGTATATCCATGAGTCTCTCTGCTCTACACTGTCTATAGCAGTTGTCCTTTCTAAGTTCTCTGTATCCAGCACTTTGTAAACAACATTCCCCAACAACGTGCCCCGACAGCGTGCCCCGACAACATTCCCTGACAATGTGCCCCGACAATGTGCCCTGACAATGTGCCCCGACAGCGTGCCCCGACAACATTCCCCGACAACGGGCCCCGACAACATTCCCTGACAATGTGCCCCGACAACGTGCCCCGACAACGTGCCCCGACAACATTCCCCGACAGCGTGCCCCGACAACGTGCCCCGACAACATTCCCCGACAGCGTGCCCCGACAACGGGCCCCGACAACATTCCCTGACAATGTGCCCCGACAACGTGCCCCGACAACGTGCCCCGACAACATTCCCCGACAGCGTGCCCCGACAACGTGCCCCGACAACGTGCCCCAACAACGTGCCCCGACAGCGTGCCCTAGAGTAGTTCTCTATCTGGTGCCTTGTAGCCACATCCCGCTTTGTACATAGTCCTATCTTGTAACATTGTTGATAGTTGTTGCTAATGCTTGTATATTCTGATCAGATGACTGCCTAATATGGTCATAGTGTCATCTGATTTGGTCATGTGATATAATCAACCTGATGTGACTGTTACTTAGGCTAAATATGGTAGTGTGACCTTTAACCTAATTGTAGTTACATGACTAACAAATGTTCATTCATTCATTCATGTGACTGTGTAACCAACATGATCATGTGATTTCTTTATATGGTGATGTGACAGTTGATGTTGACGGTCATGTGACTTCTATATATGGTGATGTGACAGTTGATGTTGACGGTCATGTGACTTCTATATATGGTGATGTGACAGTTGATGTTGACGGTCATTTGACAGCCCAACGTAAACAATCTCCCCTGGACAGTGGGCAAGAAGTTTAAAAATGTGAAATATTTGGGGATTTATATCATTGTATAACAAAAATTAATTCAAATTGTAAATGCTGAGACTCGCCAGTCCTGGGTCTGATTCCTGTCTTGGTGCATGAGGTCCAGTTTGGAGGCTCTCAGCTTGATTCACGCCTTTGAGGCAGTCTTGAGCAAGTGAGGTGTGTCATGCTGACAATGTCCTCCAGGAGAGTGTGTTTACAGATGGCTGTCCACCACCACATACAGACTGAATAGTCCAGCACACATGCATGGGTAGCACCCAAACTTCTGTGATCATGTGTACTGCCTTCAGACAACATTTTTAATCAATAATAAATACCAATTAATAATGTGTTGTTTTGTTGTCATTTGGTTAATGACGATGTTATATACAACCCAAACATCACATCCTCATTTCTTGGAGTAATCAGAGAGTTACAACATGGACCTCCAGCAGTCATGAGGTCAACGCATAGACCACAGTAGTCATGAGGTGACCCCACACACCACAGTAGTCATGAGGTGACCCAATAAACCACAGCAGTCACGAGGTCACCCCATAGACCACAGCAGTCATGAGGTCAACCCATAGACCACAGTAGTCATGAGGTGACCCCACACACCACAGTAGTCATGAGGTGACCCAATAAACCACAGCAGTCACGAGGTCACCCCATAGACCACAGCAGTCATGAGGTCAACGCATAGACCACAGTAGTCATGAGGTCAACCCATAGACCACAGTAGTCATGAGGTGACCCCACACACCACAGTAGTCATGAGGTGACCCAATAAACCACAGCAGTCAAGAGGTCACCCCATAGACCACAGCAGTCATGAGGTCAACCCATAGACCACAGTAGTCATGAGGTGACCCAATAAACCACAGCAGTCACGAGGTCACCCCATAGACCACAGCAGTCACGAGGTCACCCCATAGACCACAGCAGTCACGAGGTCAACCCATAGACCACAGCAGTCACGAGGTCATCCCATAGACCACAGCAGTCTGGAGGTCACCCCATAGACCACAGCAGTCACGAGGTCATCCCATAGACCACAGCAGTCACAAGGTCACCCCATAGACCACAGCAGTCACGAGGTCATCCCATAGACCACAGCAGTCACGAGGTCACCCAATAGACCACAGCAGTCATGAGGTCACCCTATAGACCACAGCAGTCACGAGGTCACCCTATAGACCACAGCAGTCATGAGGTCACCCTATAGACCACAGCAGTCATGGGGTCACCCTATAGACCACAGCAGTCACGAGGTCACCCCATAGACCACAGCAGTCACGAGGTCACCCTATAGACCACAGCAGTCATGAGGTCACCCTATAAACCACAGCAGTCATGAGGTCACCCCATAGACCACAGCAGTCATGGGGGGTCACCATACACCACCATCAGCCATGGGGGTCACCATACACAACCATCAGTCATGGGGTCACCATACACAACCATCAGTCATGGGGGTTACCATACACCATCAGTCATGGGGGTCACCATACACCACCATCAGTCATGGGGGTCACCATTCACCACCATCAGTCATGAGGGTCACCATACACCATCAGTCATGGGGGTCACCATTCACCACCATCAGTCATGGGGGTCACCATACACAACCATCAGTCATGGGGTTCACCATTCACCACCATCAGTCATGGGGGTCACCATTCACCACCATCAGTCATGAGGGTCACCATACACCATCAGTCATGGGGGTCACCATACACAACCATCAGTCATGGGGGTCACCATACACCACCATCAGTCATGGGGGCCACCATTCACCACCATCAGTCATGGGGTCACCATACACCACCATCAGTCATGGGGTCACCATACACAACCATCAGTCATGGGGCCAACATTCACCACCATCAGTCATGGGGTCACCATACACCACCATCAGTCATGGGGGTCACCATACACCACCATCAGTCATGGGGTCACCTCTGACAAGCATGGGTTTCTGAAGACTAATTCTTAACCGGATCATCAAAGGTAGTGCAGTATCTTGTCAGAAAAAAAACAGAGAGTAAACCAGCTTATCATGAATTTTGTTCTTTATTTCATTCAGGTCAATTGTGACACGAATGACCACATGCTAGACAGTGACCGAAAACAACGTCACACACAACAACAAAACAACGTAAGCAGCAACAACATAGTTAGCACAACTAATATTGCAACAGACAATTTGTCAACACAAGATTGCAAAAGAGACTCTAATCAACACAATATTGCAACAGACAGTTTGTAAACACATAATATAAATACAACATCATCACAGGATTAACAGACGGTTTTGGCATGTTTGATGTATTTGGTACAGTGAGCGTTTGTTCCATTTATACTGCTGGCAAGAGCCATTAGAAACATGTCGGTCTTAGCCCTTTAACGACACACCACTCTCCATGGTCAGGTGGGACTTCAACTCTCAAGTTGCTAAGCAACACTTATTTTGGCAATACTTGTTGGTTGCGGGAATCATGTAAAGAGCCATAGGACACCCCTACATATAGTGAGTGAGTGAGTGAGTTGGGTTTAACGCCGCTTTTAACACTTTTCCAGTTATATCGCGGCGTGTCAGCTTAATGTGGGAGGAAAGCCCGAAGTGATGCAGGTCTCAGACGTTTACCACTTCGGTGAAACCCACGAGCACGGGTATGGTGCTGACAAACCTAGAAACATAATCGGGGCGAACCCGGATTCGAACCCACAATCATAGGTTTCTGGCGTGCCCAAGGGATGCAACTCTGCACAGCGAATCGCGGCACCTTAGACGACTGGGCCACCCGTGCCCCCCCCTACATATAGTGGCGATATGACAATACATAATGACAGATAAAGACAACATCATGTTATGGAGATGAATTCTATCATCAAAGGTATCAACATAAAACGAAAATATATTTAGTCTATCTGAATTACCCAGACTTGAAAACTATTGTACATAATGTCCTAATGTCTGAAAGCACAATTTATACCTCAATTACCATGCCTGGCTACTTGTTCTCTAAGTGTATACTTCATGCTACAAGGCCGTGCTACATCCTATTGTGTCTCAGTGTGTCACAAGCCTTTGATGTCACACTACAGACATCAAGTCTTTGAAAGGCATTTAGAAGTGATACACATCGAAAGAGAACTTATGGATTTCAACTTCTTTATTGTGAGGAAGACAATGCTTCAGAGTATATACTTACTCCTTCATCAGGTGAATGAATGCCAATTATCTGTTGGCTTCCCTTGTTAAGTTTCCACCTTTTGTCATTTTTTGTCATAAAAGAGTAAATGCTTGATCTCAGGCTGTCATTGAATCATGCAGATGCTCCTAGGGTGAGAATTGCCGACTGTAATGTAAGGGACACAACTCCAGCAACCTTTTGCTGTCATGTCTTTGAGATAACATAAGTTGAAGCAGGTATCACTTGGGGTACATTTGGTTTTATGCGTCCCGCAAGCCGGATTGATACTGCTACAACAAATTTATCTTACTGACATGACATTGTAAAAGGATTTAAACATATAAGAAAATTGATAGAAAACAGCTGTTCAATTGAGCTGAGGTTAGCTTGGCTATGTCCAGTGACATTCATTTTAAGCGGGGAATAAGGGATTTAGTCTCCTGCTCAGAAATCCACTTGCAGCCTATGTTCTTCATGGCGGGGTATAAGGGATTTATTCTCCTGCTCAGACATTTATTTCCTTCCAAGTGGCATATATAGTATTTTATTAAGATCATGTGGACCAATCAGATCTCATCATTCTGACACGGACATATGATAAACCTCATACTGACCAATGAAGAGCACAAACACCCCTGACCATTCCTACCAATAGTTTAGCCAATTTACCACTTTTTTTTATCATTTAGCAAGTCACACTTCTGTGTTATGTGAACAGTCAAACTGTGTACAGTGAAACCTTGTCAAACCAGACCTTCTCACTCCAGCCACCCAGCTTCTAGATGTTACCTGTTGGGAACATATGTACATGTACCTGTATACAACAGAACAGATAACTCCATATCAGCGAGTGATGGATACATTAATATATTAATCCAATCAATATCACCATGCGATGTACATCTGGTATTAACAGGGCAACACTATAACATATGCTACTCAACTTTTGATTGCCTGTATTCCCAGGGTATCAATGTCTGTATAACATATTCTACACAACTTTTGATAGGGGTAATCATATGTCAGATTTAAATATACACTTGACATAACAAATATCCCTATCAACTGTGGAGTAGGATATATTGTAACTTCCCAGTCAAACAATTACAGATCATACAACAAGTTGTACAACAGTCACACATTCGAGAATGATTGATGGGATATGTTCAAGTCTTATTTTTTCAGCAGCACTTTAAGTCACACAAGCAGTTCTACTGGATTCCAACTTCAGATAGTGTTGACTTGAATGCAGTGTATTGATCAGCCATTTAAAACCACAGCATGATACTGACGCATGCAATAAAAAAACATGAACAACAAACTGCAGTAGTAACTCTTCCCTAGGGTCTGGGTCAGTTCATCAGAATGAATTACTTTTGTTATTCTGTGAAGACTGAATTCCCCAGGCCCTTCCCCCCTAGTAGGTACACATGCACTGGTCAGCAGCTGACTTCTGCTTACTTATTGATGAGGAAACAAGTATGGCGGTTTGAATAATAATAATAATAATATAATAATATGAATAATAATAATAGGCCATTAATATTGCGCATATTTCCACACCACTCAGGGATATGCTCAAAGCCCTATTATTACTCCGGATACTGGATCAGTGTGCACTCAAGAATCATTCTCAGCTCCCTGGGGAGAATACAACCCAAGCTGCCTGTAAGGCGCTAGAAGGTTAACATCCACATTTCCACCTCATCCTACCGGGTACCCACTCACTGCTGGGTGAATACAGGCACATGTCAGACAAAGTCACTTGGCCAAGGAGATGCCACATGTGCTACATGTGCTACAGTGTGGGGCAGGACCGAAGCCCTAGAAACTCTCAGGAGCCAAGCTGCTGAAAGTGGTCACCCATCCATGGACTCTGAAGGACATGAAACGCCTGTATGATTGCATCTCTCCAGGTAATGCAGGTACACCAGAAGCTGTATGTTACCTGTATGTCATCACCTTGTCCTATGTTACCTGTATGTCATCACCTTGTCCTATGTTACCTGTATGTCATCACCTTGTCCTAAACAATTGAATGTTCTTTAACTTGTTTTGAGCAGTATACATCCTCTCATTACATCTGCTACTGTCTTGTGAGATATTTCCACCTGAATTGAAACTTTATTGACAGGTGTTATTTCCAGAATGGTGATATGATCAACAGATGAGCCAGATAAGTAATAGACAAGATGTTGACACATGCTCCCTGGGCAGAGGGCTGTGATATGCCTTTCAGGGCAGAGGGCTTCTATAGGTGATACGCCTTTCAGGGCAGAGGGCTTCTATAGGTGATACGCCTTTCAGGGCAGAGGGCTTCTATAGGTGATACGCCTTTCAGGGCAGAGGGCTTCTATAGGTGAAACGTCTTTCAGGGCAGAGGGCTTCTATAGGTGATACGCCTTTCAGGGCAGAGGGCTTCTATAGGTGATACGCCTCTCAGGGCAGAGGGCTTCTATAGGTGATACGCCTCTCAGGGCAGAGGGCTTCTATAGGTGATACGCCTCTCAGGGCAGAGGGTTCCTATGGGTGAAACATCTTTCAGGGCAGAGGGCTTCTATAGGTGATACGCCTTTCAGGGCAGAGGGTTCCTATGGGTGATATGCCTTTCAGGGCAGAGGGCTTCTATGGGTGATACGCCTTTCAGGGCAGAGGGTTCCTATGGGTGATATGCCTTTCAGGGCAGAGGGCTTCTATAGGTGATACGCCTTTCAGGGCAGAGGGCTTCTATAGGTGATACGCCTCTCAGGGCAGAGGGCTTCTATAGGTGATACGCCTCTCAGGGCAGAGGGTTCCTATGGGTGAAACGTCTTTCAGGGCAGAGGGCTTCTATGGGTGATATGCCTCTCAGGGCAGAGGGCTTCTATGGGTGATAGGACTTTCAGGGCATAGAGTCTCTATGGGTGATACAGCACTTTTGTGTATGTAGATACATGAACAACGTCACTATTTAGTTGTGACATCATACAGGAAGGAGAGCTACTCTAAGGAACACAAACACTACATGGAATATTTGTATTTCACTTCTTGTTTGTTGTCGGATTTCACTGGCAGGGTTAAGTGACTTTCTGAACATCCCCATCAACGCAATTTAAAAAAATTGAAAGTAACTGAAATGAGTATGGACCCCAATTCCAAAAGTATGACAAAGATACTACTTTCCGTTTATTGAAATACTTGACTATATTGACAAGTTGGCCCCAACTATACCGCTTCACTCCCCTACTGATGGGGGATATTTGTCAGGGTTGTGATTTACTGTTATTCAGTCTAGCAATGTCAGGGTGTTCTACAATCTCAGAAAAGTTGTTATAATTAATAAATGATATTTAATAATGAATAAAACCCCACCTTCGTGTCTTCACAGGCAATTTATTTTACATTCAATTTATGACAACAATTGGAAAAACAAATTAGCCAATAAATACTTCCATGCACATAAATCTGTCTACAATTTTTTACATCAATATTCCCCGGACAGTAGAGGATATCAAGTACATGGAACCAGCTGGGGGAACGCCCCTGGAGATATCTGCTTGTATCTCCCTAGTGTTGTCATGGCAACATGGCAGCAATAAATGGTCGAGGAAACAATGCATCATTACTAGTTATATACAACACAATGCTGTCATTCACAGCCTCTGTCAAACATTCATAGCCTCTATCAAACATTCATAGCCTCTTGATGGTCATTTATATACATATTCACAATTATTCACTAACATGATTCAATGAAGCAGGATCATACCATACAATTCATCATCGAAACAGGGTCGCTGGATATTAGTTTCATATTCATAATTTCAGTAGAAATATGTATAATATCCATAATATATTAAATGTAATATGAAGGAAACATGATATTGGACAGAATTTTATATTTCTAAAATGATACATTTTTTAGCATGTATAGTGATATAAAAATGATTTGGAATAACAAACAGTTGATAGCTTCATAATATATGGATTTGTCATGATAGGAGTATAACCCCGTCATGACACTTCTGTCCGTGTCTGTTACACACTACCAGGAGATTCCAGGTTAGAATTGGCCCCAAGCAACTTGTTTGCAACCAAATGGATCGGGTGGTCAGGATCGGGGACTTGGTTGATAGCGTGTGCCCGTACCCAGACAGCGTGGATTGTTGTCCACAATTTGATCACTGGATTGTCTGGTACAGATGTGATTATTTACAGACCGCCATCATATAGCCGGAATATTGCTGAGTGCGACGTTAACAACAAACAAACAAACACACTATCACAACCTAACGACACGCCTGTCAGTGTCTAAGTGCAGGAACACACCAGGAGACACAACGTTCTGTCAAAGCCAACAAAGCATGACTAAAACAATGACATAAAAGACCACAAAAAAATGTATTTAAAAAATTAGGGAAAGTTTAGCCATGCACCCCAAGACTGGTCATTCTCCAGGCGTTGAATAATGCTGCAGGTAGATGTTTTTGCTCATTGTGAAAAAAACATGTTGCCTGGATCCATGAATAATAATTTTTTATAATGGAAAAAAAAAATTTCCAGGCAGAGAGATTCATTGACACACTGTGCCCGAGAAACTGTTCTTCAGGCAAATCAGCAAATATCACATAAATTGTGTAGAAGGGAATTTTAACATCACCTATACCACTCAACTTTTGATAGGCATATCCTGATATGTCAGCTTATTTAAATATACACTTGAATCAGGAGAATCATGTTGTGTGGCGGGGAGAGGGAACAGATCGCTATCAGACGTGGGGAAGTGATCTTTACTAGCAGTCTCAACAGACGTAGACAAATGCTAGAATTTGAACAGAATTATGTTTGACAAAATTTATAGCCTTGTATAAAACTGACATGTATAATATATATATCATAAAAAAAATATATCAGGCCCGACTATTTTGTGTGTTGCTGTGTTTGACATCAACACAGCAGGAAGAAGATGATCTGTTGAATTGAACTTATACAAATGTATTAATTTACACTTTCAACACCTACTAGGGAAAACAAGAATAACAGTTTTGATTTATGAGATACTAATTTGGGTTCTTATTTTAATAATTCGACATTCATAAGTCTTTTCTGAATGGGGTCGATTTTCTATTTCTTGTTTTGGCAAAGGAAGTGTAAGGTCACCCCCTGTCTGATAACCTGTCAACCCTTTACTAAATATAAACTCAATATTTGAACACTTTGCCGGGATTCAGAGTGTAACTCAAGGAATTAAATGGCTGGTATTTATAGCTGTATATCCCCCGCCAGTTATACAGGATCTGGGGTAATTTATCTCGAGGTCATCATTAAACATGAGGTCACCATGAGGTCACAATGCAGCATTGAGTTAGCAATATCAGAAAGTGTCAATATCAGGGAATCAGTTCAATGTTGAAACATTTGGCAATAACACAGTGGAATAGTGGACACATAAGGACAGTCTGGTTGCAAGGTGATGCGCTACAGTCCTGTGCTGTGTTTATCATGGTGTATGCAGAGTGAGTGAGTGACTTTGGTTTAACACTGCGTTGAACAGAAATACTGTATGTACTAAGAAATCAAAATTTGACTTGTCATGTAAGGATCGCTGTCTGGTGTTGCCCCTCCGCCTGCCTCCCCACCCCTCCAGACTCCTCAACCCCTTCTCTTCTTAGCTCCTCCAGACTCCTCAACCCCTTCTCTTCTTAGCTCCTCCAGACTCCTCAACCCCTTCTCTTCTTAGCTCCTCCAACCCCCCCCTACATCCACACTTCCTCACTCAACACTTCATCACCCATACTACCACCACCCCTAAAACTCCCACACCCCACCCCCCCACCCACCCACCACCCAATCACTCATACCTTGATCACCCATACTACCATCCCCATCAAACTCACCCCCTTCCACCCCTCCACCACTCATCACTTCATCACCCACACCACCACCGCCTCAAACTCACATCCACCCTGACACTTCTGATATCCCCTCATCCCCTCCAACCCCGTCCTCCCCCTAACCTCTTCACGCCCACCCTGACACTCCAACCCCGTCCTCCCCTTAACCTCTTCATGCCCAACCTGACACTCCAACCCCGTCCTCCCCCTAACCTCTTCACGCCCACCCTGACACTCCAACCCTGTCCTCCCCCTAACCTCTTCACGCCCACCCTGACACTCCAACCCCGTCCTCCCCCTAACCTCTTCACGCCCACCCTGACACTCCAACCCCGTCCTCCCCCTAACCTCTTCACGCCCACCCTGACACTCCAACCCTGTCCTCCCCTTAACCTCTTCACGCCCACCCTGACACTCCAACCCCGTCCTCCCCCTAACCTCTTCACGCCCACCCTGACACTCCAACCCCGTCCTCCCCCTAACCTCTTCACGCCCACCCTGACACTCCAACCCTGTCCCCCCCTTAACCTCTTCACACCCACCCTGACACTCCAACCCCGTCCTCCCCCTAACCTCTTCACGCCCACCCTGACACTCCAATCCCGTCCTCCCCCTAACCTCTTCACGCCCACCCTGACACTCCAACCCCGTCCTCCCCTTAACCTCTTCACGCCCACCCTGACACTCCAACCCTGTCCCCCCCTTAACCTCTTCACGCCCACCCTGACACTCCAACCCCGTCCTCCCCCTAACCTCTTCACGCCCACCCTGACACTCCAACCCCGTCCTCCCCCTAACCTCTTCACGCCCACCCTGACACTCCAACCCCGTCCTCCCCTTAACCTCTTCCCGCCCACCCTGACACTCCAACCCCGTCCTCCCCTTAACCTCTTCACGCCCACCCTGACACTCCAACCCCGTCCTCCCCCTAACCTCTTCACGCCCACCCTGACACTCCAACCCCGTCCTCCCCCTAACCTCTTCACGCCCATCCTGACACTCCAACCCCGTCCTCCCCCTAACCTGTTCACGCCCACCCTGACACTCCAACCCCGTCCTCCCCCTAACCTCTTCACGCCCACCCTGACACTCCAACCCCGTCCTCCCCTTAACCTCTTCACGCCCACCCTGACACTCCAACCCCGTCCTCCCCCTAACCTCTTCACGCCCACCCTGACACTCCAACCCCGTCCTCCCCCTAACCTCTTCACGCCCACCCTGACACTCCAACCCTGTCCTCCCCCTAACCTCTTCACGCCCACCCTGACACTCCAACCCCGTCCTCCCCCTAACCTCTTCACGCCCACCCTGACACTCCAACCCCGTCCTCCCCCTAACCTCTTCACGCCCACCCTGACACTCCAACTCCGTCCTCCCCCTAACCTCTTCACGCCCACCCTGACACTCCAACCCCGTCCTCCCCTTAACCTCTTCACGCCCACCCTGACACTCCAACCCCGTCCTCCCCCTAACCTCTTCACGCCCACCCTGACACTCCAACCCCGTCCTCCCCCTAACCTCTTCACGCCCACCCTGACACTCCAACCCCGTCCTCCCCCTAACCTCTTCACGCCCACCCTGACACTCCAACCCCGTCCTCCCCCTAACCTCTTCACGCCCACCCTGACACTCCAACCCCGTCCTCCCCTTAACCTCTTCACGCCCACCCTGACACTCCAACCCCGTCCTCCCCTTAACCTCTTCACGCCCACCCTGACACTCCAACCCCGTCCTCCCCTTAACCTCTTCACGCCCACCCTGACACTCCAACCCCGTCCTCCCCTTAACCTCTTCACGCCCACCCTGACACTCCAACCCCGTCCTCCCCCTAACCTCTTCACGCCCACCCTGACACTCCAACCCCGTCCTCCCCCTAACCTCTTCACGCCCACCCTGACACTCCAACCCCGTCCTCCCCCTAACCGACCTAATACTGAGACAGCAGAATTCCTTTGCTCAGATAGGGCAAGTATATGCAGCCTTCAACACATTTGTTTGCTACATAGTTTTCAACTGAACAGTATTCATCAGTATATTTCACAGGCAAACTGACTTTCCAACAAAAGGCCAATGCATGTGATTATGGACACTTAATATTGTCAGTATCCATGATGTGATGTAGTAATGTAACATATCAACACTGGTTTATTGACAACCTAAGAAAAACATGTGAAATATATCGCATAATTTCATTTTTAACAATCCTTAGCAAGCATTTTAGCCCCCAAGTATTTCAGCCATATTTAGGCAAGGGAGGTAATTTGGTTGCTATAGTAACCTGTTGCATCCCCAAACAAAGGGGAAGCCATTACATGGTGTGGCCTTATCAGCGAAGCGCATGTCATCACATTTCTCAGTCACAATCAAAGGCACATTAGTCACAAACATTCAACTTTTAAATCTTAGGACTTCCGTATCATAATAATGTCAAAATCTTCATTTTCTCCTCACAAAGACAGGTATTTCTGTTATTGATTGAAATAAACAATATTTTTGGCTGTCTTGTCCACATTCTATATTGCCCTATAAATACAATGTAAGAAAAAGACATAAGTTACACCCAAAATAATTTTAAAACATATTTTGGAATGTAACAAGATATGCATGAATTATTAAACATCATTCGTTTCAAGTTCAGTGTCCAGTAAATCAATATATTCCTTGACTTGAGCAGGTCGCCAGGCAATATCACCAGCGCAGTGAGACTATGGTTCCTTGAAGGGGCAGGTAAAGGGAGACTACTCTTGTTGGTCTAGGCACATGTCACACCGCTGCAAGCCACTCTCGTCACATTGCATGCAACGCAGGGCATGGAACTCCTCCGTGAAGTGGTTCCGATGTAGTGACTTTTTACTCCCGTGACAATGACTGCAAGGAACGAATCTGTAGCCTCCACACTTCCCACACGAAGATCTCACATTAATTTTCTGAGGACAAAAACATACCATTAATCTAGGTTTAATTGTCTTTCACAAATCATAAACTTTATCGACTATGTTTTACAAGCATGCACTCAGTTACTCACACACACACTAACAAAAATATACACATTACATGATATGATACTTGAGATTTCTTCTCGAAATGCTTAATAAATTTGTCTTTTGTTATTGAACCAAGAAATCAATTTTATTTTAACCACTTCCAAAATATAATTAAATTATTAAAACATTTTGTGTTAATTATTATATCAATGCACTGGATAATATATTTTTTAATTTCCTTTGATATTTGTGATATTGTGTTGCTGATAATTGTTGCTGATCTCATGTTATGAGGAGGAAGTGTCTCACTTACAGGAAAGTTCTCAAGGATGTCTCGCAGTTCCCCTGTCTCATTCAACGTCTGGAACTCGTTTGAATCCTGGAGAAATAGAATAATTAGATTTCAAAAGAGAGATATATTTTCAACAAAAATAAAGCCATTGTTTGTTTATTCTCTTTTATTTCTTTTCAAAAGCCACAAATCAGTTGAGCAGAGATGTGTATTTCTGAGATGTGTAGTTGTGTGTGCATCCGTGGGAGCAGCACGAGGAACGGCTACATCGGCATTCTGTGTCTGCATGTTGTGTGCACAAGGCTTCCCCACTGCTTGCTTGTTGCTGCAAGAGCTGCTATGCCAACATAGAGGACATAGCAAGGGCATAGCAACCTCTGGAATACACAGGACAAGCATAGGATCTGCAATTCACAACATAAAAATTGTTTCCTCAAAGGAGAAGTTTTTAAAAATCAATAAACAGTCCTATTTCACCCATACACAATCTTAAGACCTGTAAAGACCTATTTCAACCCTATCTCTGGAGGGGATCTGACTGTAACCTGCAATACATGAACCTTCTCCCATGTACACTGTAACCTGCAAGACTTGAACCTTCTCCCATGTACACTGTAACCTGCAAGACTTGAACCTTCTCCCATGTACACTGTAACCTGCAAGACTTGAACCTTCTCCCATGTACACTGTAACCTGCAAGACTTGAACCTTCTCCCATGTACACTGTAACCTGCAAGACTTGAACCTTCTCCCATGTACACTGTAACCTGCAAGACTGGAACCTTCTCCCATGTACACTGTAACCTGCAAGACTTGAACCTTCTCCCATGTACACTGTAACCTGCAAGACATGAACCTTCTCCCATGTACAATGTAACCTGCAATACATGAACCTTCTCCCATGTACACTGTAACCTGCAAGACTGGAACCTTCTCCCATGTACAATGTAACCTGCAATACATGAACCTCCTCCCATGTACACTGTAACCTACAAGACTTGAACCTTCTCCCATGTACACTGTAACCTGCAAGACTTGAACCTTCTCCCATGTACACTGTAACCTGCAAGACTGGAACCTCCTCCCATGTATACTGTAACCTGCAAGACTTGAACCTCCTCCCATGTACACTGTAACCTGCAAGACTGGAACCTCCTCCCATGTACACTGTAACCTGCAAGACTGGAACCTCCTCCCATGTACACTGTAACCTACAATACATGAACCTTCCCCCATGTCCACTGTAACCTGCAAGACTTGAACCTTCTCCCATGTACAATGTAACCTGCAAGACTTGAACCTTCTCCCATGTACACTGTAACCTGCAAGACTTGAACCTTCTCCCATGTACAATGTAACCTGCAAGATTTGAACCTTCTCCCATGTACACTGTAACCTGCAAGACTTGAACCTTCTCCCATGTACACTGTAACCTGCAAGACTGGAACCTCCTCCCATGTACACTGTAACCTGCAAGACTTGAACCTCCTCCCATGTACACTGTAACCTGCAAGACTTGAACCTCCTCCCATGTACACTGTAACCTGCAAGACTTGAACCTCCTCCCATGTACACTGTAACCTGCAAGACTTGAACCTCCTCCCATGTACACTGTAACCTGCAAGACATGAACCTTCCCCCATGTACACTGTAACCTGCAAGACTGGAACCTCCTCCCATGTACACTGTAACCTGCAAGACTGGAACCTCCTCCCATGTACACTGTAACCTGCAAGACTGGAACCTTCTCCTATGTACACTGTAACCTGCAAGACTTGAACCTTCTCCCATGTACACTGTAACCTGCAAGACTTGAACCTTCTCCCATGTACACTGTAACCTGCAAGACTTGAACCTTCTCCCATGTACACTGTAACCTGCAAGACTTGAACCTTCTCCCATGTACACTGTAACTTGCAAGACTTGAACCTCCTCCCATGTATACTGTAACCTGCAAGACTGGAACCATCTCCCATGTATACTGTAACCTGCAAGACTGGAACCTCCTCCCATGTACACTGTAACCTGCAAGACTTGAACCTCCTCCCATGTATACTGTAACCTGCAAGACTGGAACCTCCTCCCATGTACACTGTAACCTGCAAGACTTGAACCTTCTCCCATGTAAACTGTAACCTGCAAGACTTGAACCTATGTCTAATTATGTCTATCTGTGTCTACCTATGTCTACCTGTATCTACCTGTGTCTCCCTGTCTCTACCTGTGTCTCCCGTGTTTACCTGTGTCTCCCTGTCTCTACCTGTGTCTCCCTGTCTCTACCTGTGTCTCCCATGTCTACCTGTGTCTCCCTGTCTCTACCATGTCTACCTGTGTCTCCCGTGTCTACCTGTGTCTCCCGTGTTTACCTGTGTCTCCCTGTCTCTACCTGTGTCTCCCATGTCTACCTGTGTCTCCCGTGTCTACCTTAGTCTCCCTGTCTCTACCTGTGTCTCCCTGTATCTACCTGTGTCTCCCATGTCTACCTGTGTCTCCTGTGTTTACCTGTGTCTCCCTGTCTCTACCTGTGTCTCCCGTGTTTACCTGTGTCTCCCTGTATCTACCTGTGTCTCCCATGTCTACCTGTGTCTCCCGTGTTTACCTGTGTCTCCCATGTCTACCTATGTCTCCTGTCTCTACCTGTGTCTCCCATGTCTACCTGTGTCTCCCGTGTTTACCTGTGTCTCCCTGTCTCTACCTGTGTTTCCCATGTCTACCTGTGTCTCCCGTGTTTACCTGTGTCTCCCTGTCTCTACCTGTGTCTCCCATGTCTACCGTGTCTCAATGTGTCTACCTATGTCTCCCTGTCTCTCACTGTGTCTACCTGTATCTCCCTGTCTCTGCCTGTGTCTCCCTGTCTCTACCTGTGTCTCCTGTGTTTACCTGTGTCTCCTGTCTCTACCTGTGTCTCCCGTGTCTACCTGTGTCTCCTGTCTCTACCTGTGTCTCCCATGTCTACCTGTGTCTCCCAGTCTCTACCTGTGTCTCCCGTGTTTACCTGTGTCTCCTGTCTCTGCCTGTGTCTCCCGTGTCTACCTGTGTCTTCTGTCTCTACCTGTGTCTCCCATGTCTACCTGTGTCTCCCGTGTTTACCTGTGTCTCCCTGTCCTACCTGTGTCTCCCATGTCTACCTGTGTCTCCCGTGTCTACCTGTGTCTCCCTGTCTCTACCTGTGTCTCCCTGTATCTACCTGTGTCTCCCGTGTCTACCTGTGTCTCCCTGTCTCTACCTGTGTCTCCCTGTGTCTCCCTGTCTCTACCTGTGTCTCCCTGTCTCTACCTGTGTCTCCCTGTCTCTACCTGTGTCTCCCTGTCTCTACCTGTCTCTACCTGTGTCTCCCTGTCTCTACCTGTGTCTCCTGTGTCTACCTATGTCTCCCGTGTCTACCTGTGTCTCCCTGTCTCTACCTGTGTCTCCCATGTCTACCTGTGTCTCCCGTGTCTACCTGTGTCTCCCTGTCTCTACCTGTGTCTACCTGTCTCTACCTGTGTCTCCCGTGTCTACCTGTGTCTCCCTGTCTCTCCCTGTGTCTACCTGTCTCTACCTGTGTCTCCCGTGTCTACCTGTGTCTCCCTGTCTCTACCTGTGTCTACCTGTCTCTACCTGTGTCTCCCGTGTCTACCTGTGTCTACCTGTGTCTCCCTGTCTCTCCCTGTGTCTATCTGTATCAGCTGATTGTCAGCTGTGGGACATTCATGAGTGTATCAACCCCGCAGATGCTGTCGGTGGAATGACAGGGCATGTCTACATGTAGGGTTGCTGTTGATTCACATCTTGATGACAGCCCATCTGTGCCCTGTGTGGAGACTTTCTCAAATACAGGTGTAGAACACCCAGCATGCAGCAGCTGGTCCTCGAGTCACAATCATCTCTCACACAGGTACTGAGGTCCAGCACACTATGGCAAGTCTCTGTGGCAGAAGGCTCAGTCATGGCAGAAACATGACATACAAATTGTTAGAGCACTGAAAGGACTTTTTCTGTGCTGACCCAGTTTAAATAGTCAACTATTGAGTAAACTTACCATTGAGCTATGCAGGCTGTGGAATACACACATATACCATGTCGTGCTGTTTTTCCCGAGTTACCTACACAATGATGCCTGACAATGAAGTCTGCAGACATCAATGCTGACATGGCAGTGGGTGTCCGATGTTTATACATGATATAGATCCATATGCTGTTGGATGTTAACAACATCATGATATAAGTCCATATGCTGTTGGATGTTGACAGCATCATGATATAAGTCCATATGCTGTTGGATGTTAACAACATCATGATATAGATCCATATACTCTGGGATGTTAACAACATCATGATATAGATCCATATACTGTGGGATGTTAACAACATCATGATATAGATCCATATACTGTGGGATGTTAACAACATCATGATATAGATCCATATGCAGTTGGATGTTAACAACATCATGATATAGATCCATATGCAGTTGGATGTTAACAACATCATGATATAGATCCATATGCTGGTGGGATGTTAACAACATCATGATATAGATCCATATGATGTTGGATGTTAACAACATCATGATATAGATCCATATGCTGGTGGGATGTTAACAACATCATGATATAGATCCATATGCTGGTGGGATGTTAACAACATCATGATATAGATCCATATACTCTGGGATATTAACAACATCATGATATAAGTCCATATGCTGTTGGATGTTAACAACATCATGACATAAGTCCATATGCTGTTGGATGTTAACAACATCATGATATAGATCCATATACTGTGGGATGTTAACAACATCATGATATAGATCCATATACTCTGGGATGTTAACAACATCATGATATAGATCCATATGCTGGTGGGATGTTAACAACATCATGATATAGATCCATATGATGTTGGATGTTAACAACATCATGATATAGATCCATATGCTGGTGGGATGTTAACAACATCATGATATAGATCCATATGCTGGTGGGATGTTAACAACATCATGATATAGATCCATATACTCTGGGATATTAACAACATCATGATATAAGTCCATATGCTGTTGGATGTTAACAACATCATGACATAAGTCCATATGCTGTTGGATGTTAACAACATCATGATATAGATCCATATACTGTGGGATGTTAACAACATCATGATATAGATCCATATACTCTGGGATGTTAACAACATCATGATATAGATCCATATGCAGTTGGATGTTAACAACATCATGATGTAGATCCATATGATGTTGGATGTTAACAACATCATGATATAGACCCATATGCTGGTTGGATGTTAACAACATCATGATATAGATCCATATACTCTGGGATATTAACAACATCATGATATAGATCCATATACTCTGGGATATTAACAACATCATGATATAGATCCATATGCTGGTGGGATGTTAACAACATCATGATATAGATCCATATACTCTGGGATGTTAACAACAACATGATATAGATCCATATGCTGGTGGGATGTTAACAACATCATGATATAGATCCATATACTCTGGGATATTAACAACATCATGATATAGATCCATATACTCTGGGATGTTAACAACATCATGATATAGATCCATATACTCTGGGATGTTAACAACATCATGGTATAGATCCATATGCTGGTGGGATGTTAACAACATCATGATATAGATCCATATACTCTGGGATATTAACAACATCATGATATAGATCCATATACTCTGGGATGTTAACAACATCATGATATAGATCCATATACTCTGGGATGTTAACAACATCATGATATAGATCCATATACTCTGGGATGTTAACAACATCATGATATAGATCCATATACTCTGGGATATTAACAACATCATGATATAGATCCATATGCTGATGGGATGTTAACAACATCATGATATAGATCCATATACTCTGGGATGTTAACAACATCATGATATAGATCCATATGCTGATGGGATGTTAACAACATCATGATATAGATCCATATACTCTGGGATGTTAACAACATCATGATATAGATCCATATACTCTGGGATATTAACAACATCATGATATAGATCCATATGCTGATGGGATGTTAACAACATCATGATATAGATCCATATACTCTGGGATGTTAACAACATCATGATATAGATCCATATGCTGGTGGGATGTTAACAACATCATGCTATAGATCCATATGCTGTTGGATGTTAACAACATCATGATATAGATCCATATGATGTTGGATATTAACAACATCATGATATAGATCCATATACTCTGGGATGTTAACAACATCATGATATAGATCCATATGATGTTGGATGTTAACAACATCATGATATAGATCCATATACTCTGGGATGTTAACAACATCATGATATAGATCCATATGCTGATGGGGTGTTAACAACATCATGATATAGATCCATATACTCTGGGATGTTAACAACATCATGATATAGATCCATATACTCTGGGATGTTAACAACATCATGATATAGATCCATATACTCTGGGATGTTAACAACATCATGATATAGATCCATATGCTGGTGGGATGTTAACAACATCATGATATAGATCCATATGCTGACTGGATGTTAACAACATCATGATATAGATCCATATGATGTTGGATGTTAACAACACCATGATATAGACCCATATACAGTTGGATGTTAACAACATCATGATATAGATCCATATGCTGGTGGGATGTTAACAACATCATGATATAGATCCATATACTCTGGGATGTTAACAACATCATGATATAGATCCATATACTCTGGGATGTTAACAACATCATGATATAGATCCATATGCTGGTTGGATTTTAACAACATCATGATATAGATCCATATACTCTGGGATGTTAACAACATCATGATATAGATCCATATGCTGATTGGATGTTAACAACATCATGATATAGATCCATATGATGTTGGATGTTAACAACACCATGATATAGACCCATATGCAGTTGGATGTTAACAACATCATGATATAGATCCATATACTGTGGGATGTTAACATATACTATAAACACATATATGATATACACATATATGATATACACACATATGCTATATATACACATATATGATATACACCCATATACTATATATACACATATATGATATACCCACATATTCTATATATACACTTATAAGATATACACACATATACTATATATACACATATATGATATACACACATATATACTCAAAGGCAAAAGAAACACGACTACCATACCTGTTGGTTATAATATGAAGAATTACTCATATTCAAGAGATATTAGATTGTTTGATGCACAAATGAACATGGTATATTGTCTGTGACTTGATGCTTATGAAGGCATCACATGTGACCCGAGATGCACCATTTATGCAGTTTGGAAATCATGTGCAGCATATCGTGATAAGAATAAAGACACTGTGGTAACACTTGACTGATTATTTGTTTTGTCATTAAGTGTTACCCATTGGAAACATCTCTTCTTTTCCTACGTACTTCTCTACATGTTTCTGTGGTTCTCGTTTCTTTTGTAGTTGAGTATATAAGTTTATTATTCCTGGAAACCACTTACACCTAAGTGAAGCCCATCAGCGAAAACGTGAGGCACATCGATGTGGTCGGTAGCGAGCCTGTCTTGGAGCTCCCTCTGGTGGTCGCGGCTCATGTAGAGGTCGCGCTCCTCGTAGCGCACCATATGCGTCTGCAGGATGTTGCGCACCACCTTGCACCTCTCCCAGGTGTCGCGCACCACGCACATACTCGTCGTGTAGATCACAATCTTCCCCTTCTCGTGCTGACGGTAGTTCCTCTGAAACCAGCAGCCTCCATTACACATCACAGCCGAGCCATGGTCATAAGTGTTGATACAGGCCGAGCTCATCTCACTGGTCACATCCTTACCTTGTGGACCAATCTCATTCAAATGAGATCTTAGTTCTCACTACCTCTAAACACAGATCTGTTGACATCCCATTACGTGTCACATTCTAACGACCTTTCGCGAACTTTGATCGACCAATGAAATGACAAACAAGAAATCGACATTAGCCAAAAAGCATCTTTCTTGAGCTTTATCGCACTAGTTTCAAACTGCCAACTTCCATTGAACAATATTGATTCAACCTTTGAAAACTGAACAAATGAAAGTTCTGGAATGTCTAATAATCTCTTCCGTTTCGAATGTTTATATCCCATTGAAACGAGAGATAGACGATGAGTTAGACAGAACTGTCATTCGGGATACCCTGTGTTTACTATTTCGGTTTGCATGATTAGAAACACATTTCGACTGTCACTCTCCTGAATTGGTAAGCGATGCTCTGATTGGTCAAAAGAAAGGTTGTTCTCACATGACGCGAAATGTGATGTCCTCAGATCTTTGTTTAGCGGTAACCAGAAATAGGATCTGATTTCAATGAGACTGGTTATGGACCAACTATTGTCGATTCTTATGGGGGAGCTGAAATTTTTAATACATTTTTAAAGAGAATGCTGGAACACAAGAATTGGCCTCAGGTTTAAACATTCTAAACATTGTTCACAGGACTTGCTGCATGTCAAGGTCAAGAATTTCGATGACCTTGAAAATATTTGACTCTTTCTTTGAACTATCCTTGGTTTCCCCCGAATGCCCCGAATGGTTGGTGTTGTATAACCATCTGATGACATCAGCCATACCTTATTATAATCTTCTTACGGTTGTTTCCATACCTTACTCCCTCACCTTACTGTTATCACCTTATGGATGGTTAGTGTCCTTATCATCTTACTGACACGTCCTTCAATGCTAGAAGCCTGCGTTTCATGAACTCATCCTTACAAATGTGGTATTCAACACTGTACTCAATATCCACTGCAAGTTGACTGGCGGCCTGAGGGGATCTCAGAACGTTTGACTTGTCAGTTTTGACCAGAATACTTTCAGAATACTTGTTTGGCCGATATTTTCTGATCATTGATGTCCAACTCTTTATTTAGTCAGATTAATTTATTGCTTTGTCTTACAGATTTGTTTTTCTAAATTATTGTAAGAAACTATGTGTATGTTTGAGAGAATCCCTTCTTGCAATTGTTGGCTGTGATATTTTAAATCATATGTTCAGGAGAAATCCTTGTGATAAGCTACAGACAATTTGGAAATGATATCCCAAAACAAGTTGGATACTTAAACTACTTCCCGCCCATAGAAAGTATACACCCAGTTTGATGGTGGCTAAGAAACAAGAAATGGTAATTCAATCGGGATGTATTTGACAAGGGTATCACAATTAAGTTTTGGATCTCACGTTTGCAGTGTTTTGGCAACTGTTAACAGCCTGGTAACATTTCGATAACGTTTGTAAACTTCGGGTCAAATCCAATATTCAAGTGTATACTATCTTTTACCCGGCAGTAATTTTCAAAGTTTTATTGTATATTTGTAACAGACGGACAGCACTATTTACTATATACTGTATCGTCCCATATTGGTCCCAAATCTCCAAAAACACTACATACTCCTGGTCTGATTTAATGCAAACATTATAAAATTAAATTTGAATGGCAATACTTGTACGGAGCCTGTGAACAAATCAACAGTTGGATGTAAAATAGCCGATCTGGAGTGATGACAGATACAAGACAATGGAATGGCTGACGTTACAACTTCCAACACATATGCCGTGGCTGGAGAGACATCCATCAGGGCATCTGTTGACATACAGTACAGACAGGCAAGTATCTCACACCCTGATCTGTTACTAGCCATTGGCATGCAATATTAAACATGTGTATCAACCAGTTGTGGAATAACGGTAATACTCTACCAGTTGCCATGGATACATTTGTATCCAAAATTTGTCAGAACTGCAGAGACGGCAGAAACATGGTCACATAGATTTTGTAATCTGAACTGTTTTCATTACATATATACACAATTACACATAATATCAATATTTGTTATGCAAGTCTTGTGATTAAAAAAGTACATTATTTGTAGTAAAGTGTATACATGTCCTAGGTTTGTAAGAATATTTGCAGCTAAGATGCATGAAAATGTTGCATGCATTATAAACTTTTTCTTTCAGATTTACCAGTCATAAAGATTTTAAGCTTGTAATTTCAAACAACATCTGGCATTGATTGTTTAAGTATTGGTGTGGGCAGGTAGCATTCCTGTATGGTGTAGAAACATGAATCTGATACATGGGATATTTTAAAACAAAAATGAAATGCTTTTATCCAGGGTTATAAGTATCTGAGAACCAAGATGTCGAGAAAGAAACATTTCTTAAGTCAACAGATGTCAGAACCTTGCAGGTGCGAGGGTCATCTTGGAACACTCCATGCAGGTATAACTACATCAAATCACACTAACGAGCATACAGGTGTATTATCAGGTAAATCAACACCAGGTATGTTGTGTGCTCACCAAGTTACAAATAGACAGAATTCCTGCAGGGGACCTATGTAATGAACCTACTTGATGACCTTCACATAGTGACCCTGTAGGCAGCTGTGGGGGAACATTGGCAGGAAATACACAATATGTCCAATTCCTTTCAATAATTCCGAAATTGTTTCAGGATAAAAGAAAGTCTCTTGTTTCACCTTTCCACCAGTTTAACCCGCGAAATGTGGACTTATTTCTGTCAGGTAACTTTAATTTGTACTAAGTAGGGGTTGGGTGGTGTACATTGGGGTAGGGGTGGGAGTGAGGTGAGGTGGGGTAGTGTGAAGTGGGGTGTGGGTAGTGTGAGGCGGGGTGTGGGTTGGTGAGGCGGGGTGTGAGTTGGCGAGGCAGGGTATGGGTTGGTGAGGCAGGGTGTGGGTTGGTGAGGTGGGGTGTGGGTTGGTGAGGTGGGTTGTGGGTTGGTGAGGTGGGTTGTGGGTTGGTGAGGTGGGATGTGGGTTGGTGAGGTGAGATGTGGGTTGGTGAGGTGAGGTGTGGGTTGGTGAGGTGAAGTGTGGGTTGGTGAGGTGAGGTGTGGGTTGGTGAGGCAGGGTGTGGGTTGGTGAGGCAGGGTGTGGGTTGGTGAGGTGGGTGAGATGTGTTGGGGTGGGGAGGGGTGAACTGGGGTTGGGGTGGTGTGGTGTGCGGTGGTGTTAAGTGGGAGTGGGGCAGAGTACATTGAGGTAGGGGTGGGAGTGAGGTGGGGCGGGGTAGTGTGAGGTGGGGTGTGGGAGGGATGTGCAGGAGGGATGTGTAGGGTAGGTGTTAGATTGGGGAGGGATGAAACCTAGACGTACGGCTTTACATTTACAAAATTCAGAAAGATTTCTTCAAACAGGAATTGTGTCTATTTGCAAAACAAGAAAACAACATTACACATTCATGATATTATCAATATGAACATACACAATACACATAGGGAGGAAACAGAATATATAACACTACACGTAGAGTTCACAGGCCGACCCAGGCCACCATCCACGACTCAGGAGTGTCTCCAGCTAGCTTCCAACTCTAAGCTATGTCAACTCATGTGTTGATGCTAAACGAACACAAGCAATGTTGAGCTCTAAGCTATGACCACTTGGCCATCATCAGTCAAGCTTCAAGCCTACAGTCTAACTCTAAGCTAACCTAGAGGCCATTCCAAGCTTGTGTTGATCTCTACTGTTCCTGGTCACATCCAACTGCGGACCCCTCTCACTGTCCCCCCTGGCTACAACACACGGTGAACCACAGCCCCCATTCTCAATCTATTTTTCAAATCAGCCCCCCATTCTCAATCAAACAGTTATGCGGGACATAATATTTGCAATTCTTTCGAAATAAAACGAATTCAGTAGGCTGTGAAGTTTCATCAGCATTTTGGACATTTTTATACTGAACTGTATGATGTGATTATTCCTCCAGCTGGAGTGGAAGCTTTGTCCCCTTCATTAAACCGAGGCTGGGGCTACGTTTGCAGTGTGTTGTCAACAAGAGAGGACTGATTGTAAGCAAGTAGTGGACCCATCTAATCAGGATCAACCGTTCAACACCCCAAGGCAGGGTTAAGTAACTACTGAAGCTCAGTTGTTGCTGATGTTGCTGATGTTGATGATGTTCCTGTATATGCTGTTGTTGTGAAGTTGCTGTTGTGCTGTTGTCCTCATATTGCTGTATTTTCTGATGTGATGTTGAGGTTGTTGTGATGGTGCATACGCTGATGTTGCTGTTGTTGTGATGTTGCATACGCTGATGTTGCATACACTGATGTTGCTATTGTTGTGATGCTGTATACACTGATGTTGCTGTTGTTGTGATGCTGTATACACTGATGTTGCTGTTGTTGTGATGCTGTATACACTGATGTTGCTGTTGTTGTGATGCTGTATACACTGATGTTGCTGTTGTTGTGATGTTGTATACACTGATGTTGCTGTTGTTATGATGCTGTATACACTGATGTTGCTGTTGTTATGATGCTGTATACACTGATGTTGCTATTGTTGTGATGTTGTATACACTGATGTTGCTGTTGTTATGATGCTGCATACACTGATGTTGCTGTTGTTGTGATGCTGTATACACTGATGTTGCTGTTGTTATGATGTTGTATACACTGATGTTGCTGTTGTTATGATGCTGTATACATTGATGTTGCTGTTGTCGTGATGCTGTATACACTGATGTTGCTGTTGTTGTGATGCTGCTCTATCTGATTCTGCTCAAGGTCTGATCATGTCCGTATTTCCAGGTCAAATCCTGATTGCATGTCAGTGGTCAATATTACCGGAGATGTTGTAATATTTATGTAAATCATCAACATTTCAGTGGCCTAAGACCTGCATCAGTCACTGTGTCACTTCTATATACGTCTATCTGGGCCACACCAGCTT